TCATTATTAACTAAAAATGATAGTTTCTTGTACTTTTGGAGATGCATTTAAATGTGTGGCCATGTGTATGTTGAAGCTGAATGTCCATAAAAGAGTGTCCAATCTTGGAATAGCAGAGAATATAGTGACTGGCTGATTGTAATTATATGAATTCTTTTTTTTTTGGTCGGAAAAAAGAAAGACTTTTGTCTTTAAGAAAACGCAATATGGGTATTTTTCATAATTTACACCTAGCATTTTGATCTCCTAGTAGTCGTAATTTTCATGACTAAGGAATATGCTCTCTGATAAGTTAGTTCTTCATTTTCTTCATTGACATACTGGGTCCTGTGTACAATTTGCTTATTCTGACAGGCAGTACATGCCCACTCTTAACCCTCTTATTTGTTCTATATTGTCAGGCAGTACATGCATGGAAAAATGACATCAAGCTTTGGAATTCCTCTTGTATCAAGACTTTGTAATTCTGCTAGTGGATCAGATATCTGCAATTTGTACTTGAAATTACTTAAGCCATTTCAAACACCTAGAAATGATTCCCAAGAATGTCTTGATAGTTCAGAGAGCGCCACTCTTGAAGAAGTCAGTGGAACACAGGATACAACACCTCCTGTTTTAGGTGGGGGTGTGAACTCCTGCTATAGAAATGGGGCTGACTCACCTGTGGATTTTGGTTTTCAGTTTTACATAACAGATGAAAAGGGAACTTCCAAGGATAAAAAGATAGTAATGAATGAGATAGTAGAGAAAGAGGAGTCCAAGCAATTAAATGTGCTTGTATGTTGGCCAAAAAAGTACATTGCAGAGTATGATACTCGCCTTCTTAGCTCATTGGCAGAGGTTTTCAAGTCTAGCCTTTTTGCGAAAAAGCCTCAGGAGTCTGTTTCTCTGTATAAGTGCCTTGAAGCGTTCTTGAAGGAGGAGCCTCTTGGACCAGAAGACATGTGGTGAGTGGGTGCATCTTGATCCTTTTAAATTTAGCTTTGAAGTATTTTGTGTTGTATACACCTATGATTTGGAAGAGCTGAAATATCTTGATCACTGAATGTAATGGTTTGTTCACTTGGTTTTTTTCGTAGAGTCAAGGACAGTTGGGTAGGTTATGTGAAATTGTTGTTATTTTATTTACTCATTGCAGTACTTTTGATATCAATTTTGGAATGAAATCTTTTTCCAGTCATCTATAGATTTCTCTGTTTGGATTAAGATATTAAAGCCCTTCTGGTTGCGTCTTTATTTTATTGCTTATGCAAAATACATAATTGCAGGTTTCTTGTGATGCCATTGACATTAGCTCCAAACTTATAACTTCTCACTTGTGCTGGATCGCTTTTGTTCGAACAAATTACATAATCAAAAAAATTTATTCTGTAATATCTGTTAAATCATGAATTTTTATTTATTTATATCAATTTACCTCACTATCTGACTGTATTTTCACAACACCCTCATCTAAACAGCATCCCCATCCACTATTGGTAAATGATCTTGTAATGCTCAAAATAATGGTCTGTCAAGTGTTACTCGTTTTTATTGCTTAGTTTGATACTTAGGACTAACACACAAAGGGTGATAATGTTATATTCTCGTGGTATAAATTAAGACAAGGTATTTAGAGTTTAGTACAAGGTCTCAAACTTTTATTACTTTGTGAGAAGGTATTTATAATGTCTGCTACCATTATTGCTATTTTAGGTATTGCCCTGGCTGCAAAAAACATCGTCAAGCCAGTAAGAAGTTGGATCTTTGGAGACTACCAGAGATCTTGGTGATTCATTTGAAGCGGTTCTCATATAGCCGATGTTTTAAGAACAAGCTAGAGACATATGTTGACTTCCCTGATGATAATCTTGATTTGTCAACATACATTGCCTACAGGAGCGACCAGATATGTAATCGTTACATGCTCTATGCAGTTAGTAATCACTATGGAAGCATGGGGGGTGGTCATTATACTGCATTTGTCCACGTAAGTGGTGCTTCTTGCTCAATGTTTCTTTCATTTAGTTTTTGCCTTTTTTCCTATATCTGGATGAAGAATTTCATCAACTTTCTGTTCACTTGTTTTGAATTATATAATATGTTCACGTTCCAAACATTATAGACTCAGAGCTAATACATATCGGTTCAAACCTTTGTAACCTCTATCATCTCCACTTTCTCGAAGAGTATTGCGTTGGAATCTCCATATGTTATATACATCATGTGAAAACATGCAATACTAATTTCTACACGATATGGTTGGTAACTAGACATTACAGCTGAGGCATAGATTCTTATAACTTTGCTACTTAATCTGGTAGTATCAAGATTTGACCGGATGCTTGAAGAAATTGAATTAATTATAGTTACCTAGTTATTCCTTTTTGTTTTTAAATCTCTTCGACGTCTAACCTGAGAGGCTTTGCACTTTGTTGCAAAATTTCACCGTGGGGTTCATTTAATGTCTCTCATACTTAGTGATAAATTACTAAAATTGTCCTCATACCATCAAGGCACTGCAAGTCATACAAGAGAACTTGATCTAGTTAATCTAATATCTGTAAAATTGGAGGCTTATTTTCCCTTTTCTTGTAATTTGGTATGATTTGATGCATAGGTTAATTTATGTTGCTTCACACTGAAGTTCAACTGTTTTTTTTTTTTACTGGTGTAGCATGGGGCTGATCGGTGGTATGACTTTGATGATAGCCATGTTAACCCTATCAGCCAGGATAAGATAAAGTCTTCAGCTGCTTATGTTCTTTTCTACAGAAGAGTAATAGAAGTGTGACATCAGAGTTGAGATGCATCTTCAGAAGCCCTTTTATCGTGGTGAGTGAATTTTTCACATCAGTCCTAGGACTGTAACCCCAAAGTTTTTTTCTTTTAGTCTTCAGCATTCTTTATTTCGGATTGAGAGTTTCCGTCGTGAATGAAAATGGGGGAAATTCAGAAAGAGTGACGGTACCGACCTATATAGAGGAGGTGCTTAGAGGATTGTAACATAGTGACAAATGACAAAAAGAGGGACCTAGGATACTATAGAGAGTTATAACCATTTGATGAAGAGAATTGAACTCCCTGGATTAGAGAGATTTCTAAAGTGATCTGCTCTATGAAAGTGTAATTTTTTTTTTACTGGGATTAGGCATTTGATGGGCAATTCATTAATTTGTAACTTTGAATTAGCTTTTTGGCGATATTTATTTTTCAACGCTCAGTAATATTTTTAGCTTTTGAGCTTGGCTTCTTTCTCATTCATCATGTAAATATGATCTGCTGGGTGCGGTACTGCAAATGACCTTGGGGTTGTGTGTACTTCTTCCCTTTGGTCATATGGAACTTCCTCTCCAGTCTTTATTATAATTTTTTTGGTGTATTTTTTTATTGGTTGGTGATGAAATAGGGTTTGGTTTGGACTACCGTCTGAGCCCTGATATCTAATGAAATTTATTGTAATCTTTTTCATCTATAATTTAGCGAAAGCTGATTTTGTTTACTAGAATGCTGCATCTTGTCTAATTTCTGTTACTATATATGCCATAAAGTGGCATGGGATGTTCTGATGCTAGCCTTTTTCACCACTCAAATTTGTTTGCTTTTCTGTTATCTAAAGATGACAAAAAATGGGAATGAGAAAATGGAGACGATAGATGTGAAGGTGAGAGGAGAAAATATATACAATAAAAAATTTAAAGCTAAAATATAAAAACAATTTTAGTTTTAGTTTTTTTTTTTTTGAGTTTATATTCATACATGATTCTGTTTTTTTTTTTTTGGTTTATCATCTCTCTTATTCTTTCATATTCCCTCTTTTTTCTTTAATTAAAAAACAATTTGAAAGTATAGAAGAAAAGAAAGAGAACACGATTGTACAATATATATATATATATATATATGTACGGCCCATCAAATAAGTTTATTTGAGGAATTCCTTAAATAAGTTTATTTGAGGGGGCCTATAATTATTTGAATCCGATATCATTTGACCACTTAATTGAATTATTGAAATTTTAGTACTTTCTTGAAGTAAAGTATTTATTGATTTTGTAGGACACAATTGGATGTCGAAACGGTTTTTGATTTGTCTAATTTTTTGTAAGGATGATTTATGAATGTAGACTTAAGGTTTAGATCGTTGAAATTTTTTTTTGTAGGAGACCCTTAAGGGTGTCTCTCAAATAAAATTATTTAAGAAATCCCTCAATAGAAGATAATTATATTTTTTTTGTCATTCGATAGGGAGGGGGATGAAGAAGTATTATATTGGGTCGCCTCAAGAAAATGGGGAGAATTTAGCCCACTTTTCTACTGTGGTGCCATATTGGGGGACAACATTGGTATACATTCATTTTCATTGAAGAAAATCGCAGTATTTATATTTATAGTAAGTTGGACCACGTTACTTGTCTTTCCTATCTAGGTGTAAAATTAAAAGATAGGAACCAAACCAGACCCCACCTGTTGATTGTTGACGCCAGGACCACTGTCATGATTTGCTTTGCATTCCCATCTTGCACACTTCGTGTGGTTCTCAATCCCTTCATATGAAATATAAGAAGTCTCCCTAAATATCCACGAGGTAGCCCAATTTCTTCTCTAACGTCGGTTCGGTAGGGGTCCGATTTAAACTGTATTGACCGATTTGGTTCAGTTTTATTGTGGTTTTGAGTTTTTGTAAATTAGCCTAAAACGAATCTAGATAAAGATGCATTTTGAAGTTTGATGAAATTTCTAAGTTTTTGATCTTTGGGTTGAAACCGTATTAGTAATTAAACTTTAAAGTTTGTTGACATGTTGGATTTTAGGATGGTTGCTATAAAATGAAAAATATGTAGCAAGTCATGGATTTTAGTTGTTGTAATTGGGTTAATTGGTTGTATTTGTTCCCAAGGAAATACAAAAAGGCTTGCAGCACATTCCTGTGCAGTATAATTGGTTGGCAGCAACGTGATAACAAACATTCCATCACTTTGCTTAGTATGTTAGCATATCATGCTGCAAACAAGTTCTTTTCACTTTGGCAAGCTCGTTCCTTTCATGGCAGAAGGGAAAGCACACAAGAACAACTTGCAATTAACATTTGGTGCATAATGTTGCAAAAATAGGATATAAAGATTCTCGACTCACTCTACTCTAATACTAGGTACGGTACAACTTCAAAATTTGATATCAGAGAAATCTTAAATATCCTAACATGTCTACACCACACTCAATTACGAACTCTGTTAGTGACTTACATCAACGCATACATTTTGATCCCCGTAGTCGCTTATATAACCTCTGACATATCAATTCTCTGTAAACTGGTGCTGGCAATTGGTGCACACGTAGAAAGTAGTTGCTCCTTCATCTGCTGATCGCATCTATACAAAAAGATATTAAAGAAAGAAAAGAAGGCAACATAGAAGACAATTAGATGACAGGAAAAATAAGCAGCAGAAAAAGAAGACAATTAGATGATTGGGCGTTTGTAGAATACCTGTCTGGAATAATATGTATGCTCATTGTGGCCACATTTTTCACATGTTTTAGCATCTGTCTGTTAAGAGGAAAAACAGTATAGAAAAATGACAAGCAGATTCCCAAACAAATACCACACCTTAAATGTAAACTGAAAAGCACAGCTACCTTTTGCAATTGCACTTTTTCTTCACGAATTATTGATATGCCTAGCTCCCTTCTAATATCCTGCAACAAGGACACATATAGAGTAATCACTTGGTTCGGTGATACAAACAACTCAATTCAAGCATCACCATCTCTCCCCACCCCGAAAAAGGAAAAAAGAAAAAGAAAAAAGGAATAGCGTGCCAGTACACACACAAAAGCACACATGGATTAAGATTAAAATGATTATGAACTTTCTTCTTAGGCAGTAATATGTATATATGTTTCTGTGTGTGTGTGTGTGTGTGTGTGTGTGTAGTAGGGTAGCTTTTGCATTAGTTCATAATTAATAATAGTATCGACCAAATGCAGCCGTTATGAAAGACATAAGAACTTGTCACGAAAGATGGGCATCAAAAGATTAGTTTTGGGCATACCTCAGCAGTGGCTGTGTAAGATATTTGTCTTCCGGAGATCTCTGAAGACAATGGTAATCATATTAAGTTAATGGTTAATATTTTGAAGTCATTTATAAACCTACGAAAATAGTATTTATGCCATACATAACAAAACTGTCCAAACACCGTGAATTTGGTAAATGTGGTACCACACAAGTTTGTAAACTACGAAGTAATACTTGCAGCACAAATGGTACAGCTCAGAAGAATACAAAGCCCAATACCAATACATGATTATTTATCCATCAATCATCTTAAATGAAATTTAAAATTTGAAAATAGATTAAACATGCAAGTCAACGTGAAAGGCTGAAAGCTCAAGTTTCCTCTACCTTTCGCGCTTATCTTACGCTTGCACAAGGGGCATTGAGCATGCTTAGTTGAACTCAATGTTAGCGTAGTCCCGCACAAGTCGCAGAACATGAAATCACGCCCTTCAGAATATGCCATGAAATGCCTCCCCTATGAACCGTTCACTATTGTTGATGAACCTGCACGTAGACCCTTAAGGATTAACAAAGTAATATCCATACATGTCTAGAGAGGTGCATTGAGAATGAGATTTTTCCAAGAAAATGCACGAGTTATGTTGAGAATTTCATCAAATGGCTAGTTGTGGCACTTAATTTGTCCATGTTCCATTCTTTAAAAGGTCTACCAAATCAAATTCATATCTGATAATTTCATTCATATTACCACAAGCCAAACAGCGGATTCAACAAACAAACGTGCAGCAGCTACTAAAAAGACCAAATCATTATATAACCAACATTACTGGAGTAATAAGTTGAAGAGGAAATTGTAAACAATGATGCCTAGATACCGCTACAACATATGTAAATCATTATTTTTCTGATGAAGGAGAACTAATCTCCATAAATCATTATTCAAATGTTTATAACAATTATCTAGAGACATTGCAACTGTTCTGTGTTTTCTAGTGGCTAGCAGCTGAAATCTTCTCCAATACAAATAGGAGCAGAAAACCAGAATTTTGTTACATAAGGGAACTACCTCCCACCCCAGTTTTGAACACCTTACACAACGAAGTGCAATTTGAAGAACAAAAATAGCAAACCCTTTACATTCTCTTTGTTTTTTCTTTGCTTTTCAATCTAGCATTCAATTTGTTCAGCCCTTACAACTAGGGGATTCAATACCTTCAGTTATGACGAAGCACATAAAAAATACAGCAACACCAAAACCCAAAAACACAGCAACAAAAAAATACAAAAACAGTCCAAATATCAAATACCCACAAATTAAAACTGTTCAAAAACACCAAATCAGAAACACCCAAACAGTCCAAGTCAGATTTTTGTACCTTCGATGAAAGCCCAGGCAGTGAGATCTGAGAGAGAGAGAGACAGGAGGATATGAGTGAGACAGAGAGGACTGAGGAGGCGGTGAGATAACCAAGGTAGACCGAGAGTTGAGAGAGAGAGAGAGAGAGAGCGTGAGAGAACTAAAAAATTTTTTTTTAAAAAAAAGTGAAAATAAATTGGGCGTGCAATCTCAAACTTGTGAGCCTCCAAAATCTTAAACCCTAAACCCAAAAAATCAATTTTAATATGTTTATGGGAATTTTGAATGTCGAAGAAAGTTTATGATAGTTTATTATGATTTTCAGTTTTGGGCTGGTTGAACCTTCATTAGTTTATTTATTTATGAAGGCCCAACTCCCAATTTTTTGGCGTTGTTGATGAGATATATTGAATTTGTATCTTAGATAAACGATGGTTAGTAGTTACCTAAGGCCCTGTTTGGTGGGTTGGAATGGACTGGTTAAGACTGAGCTTTTGAGTGTTGGACTGGTTTGGCTTGGATTGGGTTGGACTTTAATAAGTTGTTTGGCACATTAAGTTGAATTAGGCTGCACTGGACTAAAGTCCAGTCTATTGTTTGGTACAAGTATGGACTGGACAGCATTGGACTTCAAATAAAATTTATTTTAATGTTTATTAAAATTATTTAATATCAGAAATAATTAAATTTAATATATAAAAAACTTGTACACAAAATTAAAAATAAGAAATCACATGAAGAAACCATAAAAATCGTTCAAAAATTCACAAAATTAATAATAACACGAAAATTCTTTTAAGTACATTCAAATGATCAACAAATACTTATGTTATGTTGCTCTATTTCATGTACCAAATGTTTTTCTATCCATTCGAAGTTCATTCACACACGTTATATCACTATGTCCTATAAATCGGTCTAGAACACTCAAACAAGTCTCATGCCTAACAAAGGTTCGGTTCTTAAGATAGTACTTTTCATAGTACCATGTTGTCAAAGCATATATGACAGTTACTAACATCATGGATGCACACAAACGTTGTTTCTCTAACTCTACTGCAACTAGAGTTGTCACAATCTTCCTCTTTCTCTTTCGATCCATGTCTACCCTGCCATTAACAATATTGGCAAGAACAAAATCATAATCTGTGACTTTCTTTTTTATACTCAAACATAAACTAACAGACTCAAACATAGGGAGATTAGGTAAGCATGTTCTTACTAGGCAATGTAAGTTCAAGGCAAGAGGAACAGGCCTAATAGAAATAAGTTCATCAGCACCAACAGTTTCAGACATATGCTTGTCTAGAAAAATATTGCATTAATCACACAGATATCAGCTGAACTAAAGCAACCTTAGAAGCAGATAAGAAGTCTAGATCATGTTAGATTAGAGAAGATAGTTACAGTTTAACAAAAGAAAACAATCAAATTCAGAAGGTGACTAAAACAAGAAACATTGAGTAAGAGAAAATTAAAACATAAGAAATATGAGTGGGACAGTCGTATGACTCGTAAGGTAGGAGAAATAAAAACCAGCACAGAGAGAGAACAGAGAGAAAAAAAAAAATCTAGTTTACAGTTTACGGCATTGACAAGGCATTGCCCTCTCTTGGCATGGCCTTATCATACAAAAACCAAACACACAAACACTTTGTATCTGCAGCACATGCATGAATTCCAGCCACAAGCATTGTTTTTTTTTACAGATTTTCAATTTTTCTTTTAAAGACAGTACAATTGGAAATAAGCACTATTGCTCATCAAATGTCTTAACAAAGACTAGATTTGTCATTGCCTGACATGAGCAGCCTGTGTTCATACACTTATTTCAGTAATGCAACATTCACAAAGATGAGATCAACTTAGAAAGCCAATGCTCTAGTTAACTGAATGTCACCATAGTTTTCCAAGCAGTGAAAGTTTTTGGCATGCAGGCAGGATCAATAAAGGGTTATAGTCAAAGATTTGTCTAGAAAACTAATACAGATGTCTATAAGAATAAGCCTGCAATTACTATGTTCATGCAAGGTGCAATATTTGCATTCAGATTCTTCCAAACCAGGTAAACAAGACAAGTTCAGAATTCCATTAAGCTTCACACACAGGCTAGTAGGTTAGCACATATAAGGCTAAACACGTCTCATAAATCAAGCTAACAAATCAATTTGAGCATAAGGCTAAACACACAATAACCTAACCTGAATGTTACATTGAAGCATGTAATAAAGAGCAAAAAATAAAAGAAATGCCATTCTGTTCTTTATAGCTTTACTAACAGGAACTTCAAATAAAACCTGCTAATTCTATCTTTCTTTACGCCTTTTTTAACTAAGCTTTCTCTGGTTGAAAGGGTTTATGAACTGGCCAAAGAACTATATGCCTTTGAAAAACTACATAAAACAGCAGATCAAGCAACTGACACAAAAACTTTTCACAATTAAAAAAAATAAAATATGACTTTAGAAAATTGCTTTCGAACCCAACTCACTCATAAGACTTGAAAACATATTTTAAACTGATTGCAATAAGGACAATCACCCAGAAAAATAGCTAACATACAATCTTTGCTGGCACATTCAAAATGCAAGTATGAACCCAAAATTTAGACTTGTTGGTCCAACACTAAACGCTAGAAGATTTGTGGACACAAACAAACAATCATAAATTCTACACCAGATATTTCTCAAAACCCACCCTGCAAAACCCCAACTATCCACAATATCTCATTCTTCTTCCAACAAACAAAAGAATTAACAAAAACAAGAAAACCCCAAAACAGCAAACTCTTCTGCATATATCTTCCACCAAAACAGCAAACTCACACACTCCCCTAAAAACCCTAATCATCCAATACCCATTTCACAAAAACAAGAAAACTCCAAGTCCAAGCTCCCCTACCCATCAGTCAAAGTTTCAAACCACACCCTATTAGCCAGTAATTAAAACACTCTGAAAATATATCAGGCCATGATAGTGAATGCCAATCCTACTAAATCTGGAATTTTGAAGAGAAAACATACACAGCATATCCAACTAATAGTATCAGTCATTAGATTACCAGATAGCTCTTCCACTGCTTGCTCAGGATCCAACACTTCTGGGTATGAAATAGCCGATAGCCGAGGAGAAAAGCCAAGGAGGAGGAGGAGGAGGAGTAGACAATCGAAAGAGCAGAGGCGGAGGCAGGGGCGTAGAAGAACGGAGGGAGGAAGCGTAGGCCGTAGACGACCGAAGGAGAAAGGAGAAAGGAGAAAGGAGAAAGGAGAAAGTAGGTGATGTCGTTCTAAACCCGTGGTTCCCCTCAGGTTTACAATACTGGGGTTTGCTGGATTGTTATCCAATAGGAAATATGAGTACTAACCAGTCCCGTTGTGCATTTAAGCTCACCAGACGACGGACAGGATTGTAATCCATTTTAATTGAAAAAGTCTTGGCCAGTCCAGCCCACCAAACAGGCCCTAAATAGTTTAGTTTGCGTTCTATTCGTTCTCTCATTGCAATGAGTTTTACCATCATGTCGTAAGAGTGAGTAAGAGGAACGTTGACTCAGACGATTCAGAATTTGAAAATGCGGTGAGCTGAACTTTTAAGTCTATTTTCACAAGTGAATAGGTTCTCTTGAAATTTCTATGGGGCGAAGAGTTTTTCACTAGGATGCTAGAATGAGGTTTTTCTATTGATAAAATTAATAAAATTATCCTCGTACCATTGATAGGTTCATATTGTTTTTAAGTATCACTTTTATTTTTGTTTTATCACCTCTCTTGTTCTTTCATACTAGCCCCTTGGCACATGTTCACTCATGTGCCAATTGGTTTTCTTTTTTCTTTTATTTTTAGAATTAAGAAAAGTATGACCTTTTATCTGATTTTGTTTTTAATTTTAATTTTTTTAATATGAAAATGTGAATTTACTATATTATCCTCATTTAATTAATAATTTCAATTCTTAATGTTTGAATTAACCAAGGGCATGTTCTGGTATTTTGAATGTTTCACCATTCTCTGCATTTTGTTTTATATATAGATAGATTACCTCTTTTCTCTTTAATTACAAAACAATTTTAAATTTTGAAGGAAAAGAAAGGTGCTAAGCAAGCCTTTAATATGGGAACTGAAAGGAGTTGGTTTTTTTTTTTTTTTTCTTTTTTTGTGATCAAATTTGAAGGAGCCTTTACAATGCTAGTATTTTATAAACCATCTTTACACTTTATCATAACTAACTAGGCTTTAGGCTCAAGGCTCAAGGCTCAAGGCTCGTTACTGTCAATGTGTCATGGGGGTTCGAATTTGATACCACTGATCTATAAGTTATAAGGTCATTTTTCAATAAGCTAAACCTCATTGGCAATAATATGAGACATTTGATTTGCGCCCAATATTAGTGAACTATGATAGTGGGTTTCGATAACAACTTGCTCAAATCTAATTTGTCTTATTATTATTTTTTTATAAGATTTAATTTGTATTATTAATTGGAAATAATAGAGAGAAAACGATTGTACTGAAATAAAATAAAATTGGGGACAGCTTCAGTATGGTATAGTTTCATTTTCATTGAAGAAAGTCGCAGTGTTCATATTTATAGTAGTTTGGACCACGCTACTTGTTCCAATCTGGGTGTATAATTGAAAGATGGGGACCAGACCAAACCAAGCTGCTGATTGCCATGCCATGCTGTAGCAGTACCATGTTTCTCTATAATCCAGTTCACACCACCAGGAGAGGACCACTGTGATGACTTGCTTTGCATTCTCATCTTGCACACTTTGTGTGGTTCTCAATCCCTTCTTATGAAATATATAACAACCCTTCGTATATATCCACATAATTTAGCTCCATTGCTTATGTAGCCATCATCTAGGTTTTAGACATAGCATACTTGAGTTTTCATTTGTAAATCAAGAAAAGTTTAAGAGAAATGTCATTTTGATTTTTTTGAAATTCCTAACATTAAATTGTTAAAAAAAAATGTTTACATCATCATAAACCGTGCACATGCCTTAGTTAAAAGAATAAATATAATATATATTTTTTTTAAATAAGGACAAAAAGAAATTGGTTCAAAAATTTAGTATACTAAATTAGTTAGCGGCTATTTTAACTACGGATCCCGAGCCTCTACATTTAGAGTTTACGCATTTATTCTCATTTTGCAAAATCTTGACCATTCTAATAATCTAATCGCTTAAAACAAGACACATCATCAAACCTTGAGAAAATTAATTAAAAAATTTAATGACTTCAAATATTGGAAAATTCAATTTAAAACTAAAAAATAAGATTAAAAAGTCACATAATCTTTAAAATAAAATAAAAAACTGAAATGCAGCTTCCCCTCTCCGCCCCTATTCAAGGGGGCCTCAAATTTTATTATTATAATAAGTGTTATATTATATTATTATAAATTGATTTAATATTTTTTTCATAATTTTTAAGAATAGGATATTGAGATGAATCTGAAATTTTGAAATAAAGGATCCGTGACGAGAGTTTTAAAAGAAATTCTTTGATATTGGCTTGACTTGCATTTTTTGAAATTCTTTGACTCACTGATATGGTATCCATAGTTGGACATTTGTTTTCATTATTTAGGAATATGGAAGACATTGCTCAAAGTCTAAAAATATTTTCGAATAAATACTTTCTCAAAAAATCCAATGCTTAGTTGATAAAACAAGAAGTATACTAGTATTAGTGATTAATGTGTGTAGGGCACACTTCAGATTTTCGCCCTGGGCCTTTGAAAACTCAGGACCGGCCCTGACCAACCCCAACACACCCAAGTAGACATTGTACGATGACTTATGTGAGTTAGCCTAATCACGTGTTATGATTATCATATTAGAATGAGATAATGGGATTTTTGTTTATCAGTTATTGTTAGACTTTCAGTTTTGACAGACTTTGGTTACTTATGTTTATATTAACTAGGACTCAATCACTTAAGTATAATAGTTTTGATTAAACTCTTAGGTCTATCTATAATAGGAGAGATAGTGTTAAGGTTTCTTCAATATAAAAGAATCGATCCCGCCTCTCACAATACATGAGTTGTGTGGCGTGCTTAACCAATTGATAGCAAGAACATTCTGGTGTTGCAAAGAGAAGAAGATCATTCCCATAGCTGTCATGTCTTCTTCACTGAGTATGTATCAATCGATAAGTATGCTTTATTCATGTTGTAATTCATGTGTTTATTGTATTTAACTTCAGTTTTACTTACATGTGGTATCAAAGCCTAACAATTAAAACCATGATTTCACATGCTTAATTTTGTCTAACCTGCTGCTTGGAAACTGATTGTTTGTAATGAGAAATAATATTGAAGGGCGTGAATTCTGTTTTCCAATCTTATGTTCCGCATAATTGTCATGCTGCGAACCCAATGCAACAGGTCAAGAGCTATTTTGAAGATTTTTTATATTATTTATTATTGAAAAATACAGTTGTTGTCTAAATCATCACCAAATTGTTTCTTGAGTTCAATTCAATTAAGTGATGATTACTGTGTTTTTCAATACATCAACAAACACTAGAATTCGATTGTTTTAGCTAGTGATTTTATGTTCTTTTAAATTATTAAAGGAAATTATGTTTGTTATACACAAACTTGATCTGTTTTAAAATTCTTTTGGACCAATTGAATAATCTACCAAAGTGGCTTTTTTGATGTTATTATGAAAGAATTATTTAGAAAACTCATATTTGTCGTTTATGTGTGAAACCCTGTATTTTTAATATATGATTATCTTGGTTAAATATATATTAGTATGTGTAATTATCTTGGTACGTATATGTAAATATTGTTGTTATACTTTTATATTAATTATTATATTATTATAATAATACTTATTTGTTTATATCTTATTACATATATTATTCTATTATATATATATATATACATATATCTTATTATATATGTGTGTGCGGATATGTATTAATAGACCTTGTTAGTTAGTTTTGTTAATTCATAGACCTTGTACGTGTCAAAGTGAAAACCATGTTAAGTAGCAAGGTTAGTCAACTCACCAAAGAGAAAAGGATATGATTGGAGGAGTTGGAAGAATCACAAAGACATTCTTCCTTTATCTGCTATGTATATTACTTGGTTAGGAAGTATAAATCAACCGCCATTACACCATCCAATAGAAGGTGTTTTACTGCCGACTTATTTCCTTATATATAGGACATTATGTTCATAGCAAATGAACCAAGAAAGAAAGAGAGAAATGATGAAATTCTTGGAGGAGGCATAGGACTTAGCTTGTGTTTTCTTAATTGGAGATAGCTTTGGAAACAAGGTAGGGATTTCTTGGGGATCTTTACATAAGATTGATTTAATTAAATTTTGCGAGCTCTATATTATGTGTGCTATTATAATGGGCAAGGATTAAAATATCGGCCGTACAGATAATATCGGGCCTCCAATTTACGGATATTTCGAGGAATATATCGTTATCGTTTTGGGTATCGGGAAAAAATTAACAAAAATGACAGATATAAGCATTGAAACACATAATTTTAGTGTAAAACTTTCATAGATGTTATGTACATTGTCAATGAATGTATTGAACAAATAAAACTCAAAATTTACTAATAATAAGATATATATATATATGATAAAATATAAGTGGTATGTAATACGCGTTAATGAAAAGTTTAAAAATAAAAAGTTGATTAGAATGAATAAACCATGCATAAATCCATAGTTTATTTGAACATTGGATTACAATTTAGATGAGTGTCCAACTACATAAATGAAGAGCTCCTATGAGGTTCAAACAATGTGGAACAACCATCTAGATTCATACAATAATCATACCAAGTCATGTAACCCGAGTAGTTTGTAAGCCATGTTTGAACATGGTGCACATATATCTCTCTTGAGCTCCCTACTGTCCTCCCATATATGGGATAGTTATGATTAACCCAACTAGTAGATCCATAATCTGTTTCATCATCTTGAGCTCCATATCTAGTTCCACTATAATCAGACATGACATAACCATAGCCATCATAAGATTCATTTGAGTTAGTACTAGGTCTAGATTCTTTTGATGCATACTCTAAAACATGCATACTCCAAAACATCTTTTGAATTGAATATTGCCAAAAGCCTTCACACATATATCTAATCACTGCACATATACCTCCAAAAAATCTTTTCAGTTTCAATTTACTTCAAAACTTTTGAATTTTTTTGGGTTTTGTTATGGGCATCGGGAAATATCGGGAATATCGGCAAAATATCGGGGATATAGCACTTATCGGGGATATATCGTCGATATCGGGGAAGATATGGCCTTACCCCCCAATATCGGTGTCGACAGTTCAAAATATCGATATATCGGCCAATATATCAGTGTATCGGCGATATTTCAATCCTTGATAATGGGTGTTCTTGATATTGTATAATGTTCTTGATATAGGATATTTATGTATTGTGAACTATTTGAATAATGTTGATATCATATCATGGAAATTGGTTGGAGTTGTTGGGTGGAGAAGATAATGATGGAAAAGAGGGTAATGAAAATAGTCTTTTGTGTAGTTGAGTCTAACTCTTGGTAGGTACCAGGTCTCAGGGATCCCACAGTGGACATAATTTTTATTGGATGATTCAAGACTGGCGAAAGGGAGTTAGACAAAATGACTAACAAAAGGGGAATTCTGGGATGATTAAAATGGTGTTAGTTCATATAAATGGGCATGACATTCGGGACCAAGTGGTATAAGCATGGTATGGGACGTGCAAGTCTGCTTGTCTAGTTATAGAATTAACGGGAATAGATAAAGAGCATTCATTCATGCATTATTATGAATATTGTGATATTTTGGTTGTGTGATTGCATGTCACTTAATTTAGTTATATCAATCTATTGTGGTAAGGTCTCATGTCCTTACTGAGCTGTGGTTGCTCACCCCTCACCCTTTTTAGTTTTTAAGATGAATTAGTGGGCAAGAAAAGGAATAAACCAGTTGATGCTAAATTAGACGAGAGTTATAGAGCTTTATTTATTAATTGTAAACTTGTAAGATTTTGGGAACTATTTTTATAAGAGAAGTTTATTTTAAACCCATGTTTCGACTTCTTTTTATTTTATTTTACTTTTTATTTTCTCACGCGCCGGGCGCGGGGTTTCCACCTACCCCCGGGTCTGGGGCATGACATTATGGGTTATGACTGGTAGGCTAATTTCCAAAGAAATTGTCTCCTAGGTTCTACTGTACACTAATGTATAGCGAGTCATGAAGAACTTGAACATTATGTATTTCATCTTGCCTAAAGGTGTTGGAATTTATAATTTTTTTATTCTCGTTGATTTATGCTTGGCTATGCAAACACATTTTGATAGAAAGTTTCTTGCCTAAAGGTGAAGCTGATTCTATTTTTTATTATAACAGAAAATCTTTTGTTCTAGTTTAATACCTTCCCATTTCCCCTAAGGAACGTTCTTCTCCCTTTTTTGTGCATGTGTCATTGTCTGGCTCGAGCTCCTTTAGTAATTGCTACAACAAACCCTATTTGGTTGATTACCCTATTAATTTGACCCAAATAAAACTAAGTATGCAAATTAGAAAGAGATGCAAAAAGAATGTGCCATTTTGTTCCCAATTAAGGACTCGAAAGCATTGTTGAACGCAAGGTTGTGGCCAGGATTGTGGTACAGTACTGGCCGACTTTGGTACCTTTTTCTGTTGCAAAATTGGAATCGATCGCATTCACATACTTTATATATATATATACAGTCCCCTTCAGTTGAGGGATTCCTCAAATAGTGTTATTTGAGGGATGGGGCGCTCAGCCGTTGGATGTCTTTTAATGAGATTGTGCAGCTGTGATTGTTTTAAAAGTTGTAACCCGTTTTCACTCAAATGACCCGCAAAGGACTGAAGTCAAGCACGCACGCAGAAGGGGAAACAAAGGAAGAGGAAGAGCCAGCCTTGCAAGTTGAAGGGCAGATCCACCATCGCCAGCTGAAGAGTGGACCCGACAATTAGGTATGGGTATCGTTGTCGATGGTTATTTTTTTATCTCTTTTCTCCATCTGGGTTGTGGTTTTAGATTTGGGTTTCTGTGATGGTTTTTTGATATGGGTTTGAAAATTTCTGTTCAAGGTTGAGATTACACCTGATTTCTCGTGGGTTTCTTGATTTTGAGTATATGTGTTATATGAGCTGGGTTGTAATGGTCGTGAGAAAACAAGAAACCATTTGATCTTCTGTTAATCAATAAGGAATGCATTCGAATCCTGTGGGATTCACACTTTGATTTGTGGATTGATTTTTTTTTTCCCCACATTCATGTCAATTTCCTCTACCTTCTGTTGATTTCTATTGGGTTTCATGTTTTTTTTCAAAGAAAAAAAATGAATTGTTGTGGGTTAGTTCTAGGACTCACTAATCTGCAACAAATAGAGAATGAGTTTGTATAAATTCATGTCATTTACTTATTGTTGTTGAGGTAAGAGATATAACTATTTAATTTTGTTATGGAACGCATAAAAGTGGTCTAAATAATCCTTCTAAGTCTGCAAATAATCTTTTTTATTTTCAAAACCAGAATGCACACAGCCAAACGATAAGTTAGTTAAAATTTGTATGTTATCCAGTGAAAGTAGATGATTTTAGTGAGCCTAAACAATTTCAGCCTAAAGAATTGTAAGCCAAGTACAGAATACTATAAAAATGGCTTTAGCACCTTAAACAAAATGTAACTGTTTGTTATGGTAAAGAAAAGGAAAAAGGTCACTTTCCTTCCCTGTCTCTGAAGCATATGTTTTTGTATGTGCCAGTGAAAGCCTAAGGATTTAACATATCTTTTTTTTTTTTGAAATTAGATGATAATACAGTTCTATTCGGTTCAGGAACTTGCTTCTTTTACTTTAATAAAGATAAATATAATAGAATTGCTTAACTGAATTTGTGATGTTCATAATACTTCGCTTATGTATGACAGTGATAATAAACTTTAAATCTGTTGTCATTCATGAATTCATTAAAATGACTATAAATGCTTTGAAGTACTTAAGAGTGTATCTCTTTTTCAGATGTTTATAGTGTTTGAGTTATATGAAAGTTTTGTAATTGCAGGAAGAAAATATGATAATTGAAGGTATTTATCTATTTCGTTTGTTTTTGTTTTCTTGCAGGCTATATGGCTAAACCGAACGAGACGATCATTTTTGCCCGCAAATGTTAAGCTTGGCTTTAGTAGACGGAGGCCGTGGCTCAGAGTTTCTATGAAATCATGATCTCATTTATGTTTTAGTGATACTTCTTTTGTTAAGCGTGTAAATTGTATCTCAATGCCTTAGATTAGGTGATGTAAATCTAAAGTTTGTTTTATCACACTTGGGACCTGTAATTATCAACGTTTGATGGTTGAAAGAGCTTCATGGCAGTTTAGAGCTATTCAAATTTCTGCATAATTCACGAAAGCCAAGCATGCTAATGTTCCTAAGTCAGGCTTGGGAGTCACATGACAAATCATCACTGTTCACATGTATTTTCTGCAAACAAACTCATGTCATCAACCAGAAATTTCTGATCATTATTATTTCCACACCGAATATAGCACTTTCTTTTGGATTACAAACATTGCAATGGAAACAACTAAATCATGTTTGCTCCTTCGAAGCTCTTCTTCTACAGAAATTTGCCACAACCATACGTGCATTTCAAATCAAAACATTCCGATTCATATCTGTGAGAGGGACCTTATCTCCATAAAATTTCCGCATGAACTTCACTGCTACTATTGGACTTTTAATCTAGCACAAAAACAATTTCAATTTCAAATGCATATTAACAATTCGTAAGCAATCTCATAAGCAAGTACAAAAACAATTTTGCATGTGTACTATAAAGGACTAAAATATATCCGTAACACCTTAATCAGCTAAATAGAGCTCATCATTTAACTATTGAAAGCATCACCAATATAGGTTGTAATTGTAAACATAATATGAGACAAAATTTGGAAAAAGGATTATATACAGTTTAGTGCTCACCTACTACAGCTAACAAGTCTCTACGGTTTTTTTCACAAAGCAATAGCTCCAATACTTTCTATGTGGACCTATGCCAAGACGAAGGCAACATCTGCTTTCTGATTCGCACAACCGAACCTACAAGGATGGAGTCAGATATACCAACAAATATCATCTATACACACACAGGCCTTACACAGAGACACAAGAGACCGAGATTCTTATTGTGATCTAGTTCTTGCAATTTATATGAATCAAGGCAATCGAGTACTGTCTATCAGCATTGAAGAGGGGGAGAAACAAGGCCACAACTGCCTTATGGGCATACAGTGAAAATGAAACAAAAAAACGTGTTGTCCTTGCTTATAAGTGTTCTCCCACAACTTGATACACAGGTATCAAGGCATACAACAATTCCAATATGACATGAATGCGACTTCATACATTTGTACATGCAGATTTCTAAAAAATAATGCTTATAATTGTTTGTCATTGAAAAGCACACAAGCCCATTCACTATTTGATATCCCAATATGAAATTGACTTTTTTTGTTTGTTTTTGTTTTGGTTGCCTATGCCGTTAGAACTCATTCTCTAATTTTACAAGAAATTTCTTATAAATAAAAAAAATGAAACCCAATAGAAATCAACAGAAAGTAGAGGAAATTGACATGAATGTGGAAAAAAAAAAAAAAAATTCACAAATCAAAGTGTGAATCCCATAGGATTTGAATGCATTCCTTATTAATTAACAGAAGATCAAATTGTTTCTTGTTTTCTCATAACCATTCAAAATCAAGAAACCCACGAGAAATCAAGTATAATCTCAACCTTGAGCAGAAATCTTCAAACCCATATTAAAGAACCCCAAATTGAAAACCACAACCCAGATGGAGAAAAGTGAGAGAAAAATAACCATTGATATCGATACTCATACCTGATTGTCGGGTCTGCTCTTCAACTGGCGATGGTGGATCTACCCTTCAGCTTGCAAGGGCTGGCTCTTCCTCTTCCTTCGTTTCCCCTTTTGCGTGCGTGCTTAACTTCGGTCTTTTGCGGGTCATTTGAGTGAAAACGGGTTACAACTTTTAAAACAATCACAGCCGCACAATCTCATTAAAAGACATCCAATGGCTGAGCGCCCCATCCCTCAAATAATACTATTTGAGGGATCCCTCAACTGAAGGGGATTGAGTTATCAATGCTAGGTGCCAATCCCCTGAACTTCACCAACATTCTGAAACTAAATGGAAGCAACTACAAGAAATGGAAACAGGAGATTGACATTTTGCTAGGACTGTTGGAATATGATGTAGCTTTAAGAGAAGAGAAGTCAGCTGATCTGACTGCAGAAAGCACTGAAGCAGAGAAAAGTCATTTTGCCAATTGGGACAAGACCAACAGGTTGTCACTGCTGATCAATCAGAATCCCATGGAGGAACATGTAAGTGGTGGAATCAAGAAGTGTGACGCTGCAAAAGAATATTTGGGAGAAGTATCATAAATCCCAAAAGGTAGAAACTGGAAATTTTTTGTCAACATTTACCACCATGAAGCATGGTGGTACTGGAAGTGTTCGCGAGCACCTTTTGAAGATGGTTGATGTGGTCAACAAGTTAACTAGCCTGCAGATACCTATTAATGATGAGTTTATAGTTCATATGGCACTCAACTCCTCGACTCCTGAGTATGAACAAATTAAAGTCTCCTATCATACTCAGAAGGACAAATGGTCAGTCAATGAGCTAATCTCAATTTGCTGTGAGCAAGAAGACAGGCTCAAAAAGGGTAAGACAATGGCTGTTAGTTTGGTTGATACAGTCAACAGTAAGAAAAAGTTGGTGGTCCAAAGAAGTATGGAAATAAAAAATTTGGAGGATCAACCTCTGGTAAGAAATTTTCCAATGACTCTATTGTACCTGCTAAAAATGATCAAAATCCTCCTACTTTTGAAAACTTGAAAGTGAACAAAAAGATTGCCAAATGATATTTTTGTCAAAAATCTGGTCATGTGAGAAAGGATTGCGATGGTTTCAAAGCATGGCTGGTGAAGAAAGGTAAGAATGCTATTTTTAACAAATGATTTTATTAATGTATGTGTTGAGTCAAATCTTGTTTTTATTCCTCAAAATTCTTGGTGGTTTGACACTGGTTGTACAACACATATTACAAATTCTTTACAGGGATTCAGAAGGGAGATGATACAAAGTAAAGAGAATTATAGAGTTTTTGTTGGAAATGGATTTAGATTAGAAGTTGAGTCAGTTGGTAGTATTGAGTTAAAGTTGTCTTCTGGTTTTCTTTTGTTTTTGAATAAAGTACTCTATGTACCTTCGATGAAAAGGAACCTACTGTCAGCGTCTAGTTGTGTAAAAGATGGTTTTGCTTTCACTGGTGACTGTGAAAGTTTAAAACTTTTTTGAAATAATAAATTAAATGATTTGCTTGGTTATGCTTTCCTGAGTGGTGATTTATGGCAATTCAATGCACTGAAGTTCAAGAATGTTTCAACATTGAATATTCTGCACCCAAGAGAATGCTCACTAATGAAAATTCTTCTATGCTTTGGCATAGAAGATTGGGGCACATCTCAAAGGATAGAATGACTAGATTAATAAAACAAAACATTTTACCAAACTTGGATTTAAAGGATTTTGAAATTTGCATAAACTGTTTCAAGGGTAAAACTACTAATACAAGAAAAATTGGTGCAACTAGAAGCAATGACTTTTTAGAAATCATTCACACAGATGTGTGTGGTCCATTTCCAACAAGAACCGTTTGTGGCATCTCTTTCTTTGTTACATTTATAGATGACGACTCTCAATACACCTATTTGTACTTAATTTCTGAAAATTCACAAGTCTTAAACTGTTTTAAAAATTTTAAACTTGAAGTTGAAAAGCAATTGGACAAACACATTAAAATTGTAAGGTCAGATTGTGGAGGAGAGTATTTTGGCAGGTACACAGAGGCTGGACAACAGAAAAGACCATTTGCTATCTACTTGCAGGAAAATGGAATAGTAGCTCAGTACGCAACTAAAACTCCACAACAAAATGGCATGGCTAAAAGGAGGAACAGGACTCCTAAAGGCATGGTAAGAAGTATGCTTACTTGTTCACAACTACCTAATTTTCTATGGGGAGAGGCACTAAAAACGGCAAATTATATTTTGAATAGAGTTCCCAGTAAATCAATGCCTAATAGACCTTTTGAAATGTGGACTGGAGGAAAACCTAGTCTTGATTAAAAAACAACTAGCTCCTATTTCATTGGATATTCTGAAAAGTCTAAGGGTTACAAATTTTATTGTCGGCACTCTCATACTAGAATTGCAGAGAGTCATAATGCAAAGTTCATTAAGCATTCAGTTGCAGGACATACTAATTCTTAGAAGAACTACAACTTTGAAGAGACAGAGTCATCTACACATGCCTCTACATCAAATGATCACACCCTTATGTTGCCCATTCCTTTTGTCCCCTTCAAAGTCGGTGGAAACATTGCACCAATTTCGGCCGATACTCCTCAACCGCAAGATATTGCTCCACAAAATATTATACAGCAAATTGACAATCTTTTTCAGGATGAGCAGCCTACCGCACAACTTGAGTAGCATGATGAACCACCTGTAAGAAGATCTCAACGGGCAAGAAAATCTGCAATACTAGCAGATTAGAGGGTTTATTTGCAGGAAATAGAGTTTGATATGCTCAAGTGAAAGGTTCACCAAGTGCTCGAGGGGAGTAACAATAATCTGCCCAAGAGGACCAAGTCTAGCCGAGCTCAAGATGGTTGCATGTCTGATATGCTCAAGACCAGCTTTCTGTCTGTCAAGCTCATCTGTCCACATGTCTGATATGCTCAAGATGAGCTTTTCGATCTCATATGCCTACATGTCTGATCTGCTAAAGACCAGCTTTCTGTCAAGCTTATCAAGCAGAAAGATGAAGCCATTGGATTGCTTCAAAAAGGTGTGATTTTTTCTATGAAGGGTATTTGGTGTTCATCTATTATTGCACCATCTTCTTCTCAGCTTGAAAATTTGGAGAAGAAGAATGATGTCTTTACTTATCTACTTTCAATGAAGCAAAAGTGTCTAGAAGCATGTCACAAGAGCGTTTAGAAGGAGAAAAATCAAAGACTGCCTGTTTGGAGAGGATAATATCCTTGCTTAAGAGTTCCCTTGCCTTGAAGGATGATGAAAGTAACGCCTCCTCCACTGCCTTGAACTAACGAAGGAAGCCTGTTCTTAAGGTTATGATAATATATATGAAAATTTCGATGCCTTCTAGAAGAGCACCTAAGAATCCAAGTTCACAGCTGTTGTTGATGCTTACAAGCTAGGCTACTTGGATTGCAAGAGAGGGGATGCTTCCTACTACCCCCTCAGTTATGAAGAGGTTGAACTGTTCTGCCCATAAAAGTTCTTTACTGAAGACGAGCAAAATAGTGTTGCAGATATAGATCCAACTGAGGAGCAAGCAACTGATAAGACTGGAGCCGAAGAGAATGCGGTAGATGAGACTGCAACTAAAGAGAATGCGACTTATGAGACTACAACTGAAGAGAATGCTGCTCATGAGACTGGAGCTAAGAAGGACCCTAACAATGGAGAGTCTCATGCTGAAGTCTCAAAGTAGATGAAGACTTTTTCTTCTTTGTAGCTTACTAACTTTATTTTTCTTTAAGTATTGGTCTAGATTGACCATCTCTTTATGTTTTGTTGAAGTTGGCCTTGTTAACCGCTTTTAATTATAATTGAACTTTTGGATCTGCTGATAGTCTATTCCTTGTTGAATTTTGGGTCTGTTGACAGCTTGAGTGGCTTGCTGAAGCTTTGAAGGTGGGTATGATGATTGCTTTTGTGGCATGTTAGCACTTTGAATGTGGGTCTGTTAACTGCTTTCACAGCTTGTTGGTTCTTTTAATTTAGGGAAACTTTAGCCTGAGCTGAAAATTTTTGCTGATTTGAGAGACTAGAAGCTTGACTCAACTCCTTCATGGATTTCTATTATGCCAAGTAGGAACTTAAACATACTTAGTAGGATTAGAAATTAACCGAAGTTAAACTTTGTTATCCTTAGAAATCACA